GGGGGGGGGGCACTTGGCGTTCCCCGGGGTGGGGGGGGGAGTGCCCTCCCGGAGATATAGCTGAAAGAAACCCTGCTTTTCAAGCTCTAAGAAATTCAAATCACGTTGCTGTCTTCGCTTCTCTGCCCATTAGCCTGTTAAAGTTTCTTCCGTTCAAATCGTCTGGATGCAGTCTTCACAAGTCATTGTTTCCCGAATACTGGAAGTTTAATTAGTATAAACACAATTGTTGATTAAATTGTTTGTTTGTCTTTTTTAAAAAGGCGTGGGGCGCCTATGAAATAAAATGATGTCATATGACTTGACAAATACAGTGTTGCACACATGTTGGCCATTCGTTTGCATTACTGCATGGGAGTGTCAGGTGATACATATTATAATTATGAAAATATGAGCTCTCAAAACTGTCTAGCTCTGCCTTTCCATGCTCACATCGATCGTGATCTTGAAGAGTGGAATGAAAGTAACGATATCGCTCCGACAATCGATTTCATGAGTGCCACATACCTGTTTTAGTCGTATGACTGTAACCAATCTGAAGTTTTGAAATTTATATCTTTTAGTAAATTTTTGTAAAATGTATGTTTTTTTTTTTTAAAACCCTTAAATTTATATTGCTTTTGTTCGTGTGCATCCGAATTTAAGGCAAAATTTTCGGATGGCTAATTGACCCACTTCCCATCTTCGCATCGAACGGAAACTTCGCACGTAGATACCGTAAATGTGACAATAAATGCTTTCAAATTTTAAGCCCATCAAACACCAAAAAATCAGCTGTTACTATTTTTAGCGGGGAGATTAATGAAATATGATTTGTTAAATACTTGCGCATTTTTTATGTGGAGATTAATTGTTTAACTGTACTGTGTGCTTTTTTTTTTCTTTGTGAAGTATCGGGGTATGCAGTAAAAATAAAAGGAATTTTTGAAGGAGAAAATAAAGGAAATATGAAACGTGTTTTCTCCTTAACGTAACCCGTTTACGTAACCGCTTCTTGAAAAAATGAAAATAAATTACAATGACATAAGTGATATGGAAAATAGCACATATAAGATATATATAAAAATCTTTATTTTAAGGGTTTTAACTTGCTTTTTTTTTCTTTCTTTTTAATTATAAAGTAATACTAAAAAAAAAAAATTCATGTGATTAATAGCAAGATCATTATTTCAACGATCAGCTTCTAAATATTATGACAAGACGACTTGTTCAGACATTCTCGAAACCTTTAGTAAATATAATTCAATAAAATGTGAATCGTGACCCTTCAACAATCGTGCTGGCTGACGTCACTTCAACGAACGTCGCTCTAACGTCTAGAACATGTCTAGCAGAAATTCAAATTTTAATTCGTTTTCTGAGAAAGACATCATTCTGAAAAAAAAAAGCCCCATTTCTAAATCCTACTCTGTGCTGCCCTTCATGTCATGACAAGCAATAATAGACTCAAGGGCAGTCTGAAGCCAGCAGCAGACATACACGTTTTATGAGCGATCGGAACAGCGCTATACTTAACTTGAGTTTCGGTGTTGTTGGTTCTTCACTTCTAGTATTGTTATTTGGTTTTAATACAAAAACCCTGTGGTTTTTTTTTGGTTTTAAAATATGGAAGATAAATAGATGTTGTGACTATTTAAGTTTGAATGTATGACACGAACGAACTGTATTATTACACTCAAAAACATGTATTTTATCAAGCAAAAATGTATTTCACCAGCGTATGCAACGTCATGTATTAAATTATCATATCATTTTAAAGCAGTCATGTTTAGTCAGTGAAGACAGTGTAATGTTATGTGGTTACCAAGTAAATTTTATTCAAAAGTATATGAAGGGGGGGAAAAATGACTTTGCGTAAATGAAATCATTGCAGTGAATCCTTCTAAATTATTGTCAAAGTAATAAATATATCTTATGGAATTTGACACAAATAAATCTATCTTAGGAAACATAAAAAAAATTAATACATCTTAGGGATTCTCAAAAAAAAAATCTATCTTATCTATTCACACAAATGTAAATCAGTCTGAGCGATTATCACAAAAATAAATCTGTGTTACGGGTAGTATAAAAAAAAATCTAACTTAGAGATTAGCTCAAAAATAAATCATTCTTAGGGATACTAAACAAAAAAATATATCTTTGGAATTATCAGAAAAATAAATCTATCTTAAGGGTTCATACAAAAGTGAAGAAGAAAAAATTAGCAAACTACATGAATACGTGAAATACTAGCTGTACATTTTAAACTGGTAACTTTAAATATCAATTTACAAAGGTATGTGCCATCATTTTGTCTTAGCCATCATGAGAATTCAACCTTAAAGGTTTTATTTCTGTCTAGCAAACATAATGTGCCCAGTGCCCAGTGCCCAGTTAAGTAAAGTATCAGGAAAAAAACTGGACGTATCGGCCAAAAAACCGGCTTCCGAGAAAAAGACAATCAAAACAGTGAATTAAAAATGTAAACATATATAAACTTTGCTACTGGTAGGTTGTCTCGAATTCAAGAGCATATCTACACAGCAAAGTGCGGTATAAACGAAAATTGTTCAGCATAATACAAAAAATTACCTCAAAGTAAAGTTATCTGTGTATAACATTTGTGTTTACAATTGGTGTATAACATTTGTCTTTACAATTGGTGTATAACATTTTGGAGGGAATAATAACGTCGACAGCTATAACGTATTTTGACGTCTCCTGAAGTTATTGTGTTTATTTATTTTATTTTAATTTTTTTTTTCAAACTTAATAGCATATTTTATTGTTTTTCGAAACATCTGGCACGTGTATAAACATATTTGAAACATGCTGAATAAAAAAAAAAAAATAATAAAAAATTAAATCTATCTCCATTGACTATATTAGCCTACTAAACTTTAATATCGTCAAATGAAACTTTATCAACTGTGTTGAAAGAAAAATTAAAGGAAACTACGCAAAGCTATAGTTTAAATAACTTATATATTCACGCACCATCTTTTATTGTTCATCCATTGAAGGCACAAGCAAATGATGCCATTAAAGCAATGAGGGTTATGATTTTTGTTTCGTAAACTAGGCCTCCATTATTTCCAGGATTCGTGACACCCTTGTCAGATGATTGGTGAGTGGTGCTTCCTGTGATCACAGCTGGAGCGGGGTGACAAGCCCCGTCGATGACAATCATGTCACTAGAACTGCAACAAACAGTATTGCTGTATTCACCGCATTCTTGCCTTTCGTAATCGAGGTACATCTGTAGTCCGACTCCACATATATCACACGGTGTACACACACAGGTGCACTCCGGTCCAGGTGCGGACTTTATATATAATTCCTTCTCACATGTTGGGTGAGTTGGCGTTTTCGCACATTCTCTGCAGTCTAAGGTAGACGCCAGCACCGTTCTTTTGTAAGCGAGAATACAAAAACCGATGCACAGGTTGACGGACAAACGATTGAATAAATCCATTTGTGTTGCTGCGGTGTTCACTTTGTGATGACAACTTGCCGTTTCTTGGTGTTGGAAATTGTGGGCTGTTGATTAATACAAAGAAATCTATTTGATGGATAACTTTTAAATTTAGAAAGCAACCAATCCTATGATGAGCTTGCATGTGGTTTACTTGTCTTAAAAAACGCATCTTAAGTTTCTCTTAAACTATAAACACAGAGTCAAAATTGTGTTAATCTAGGATACAGGTATCAATAAAAATCTACTAACTTTCCTAGACCTCAAAGCCCTCATCAGTAAAGTCTAAAAATTGTGAACAGTCCCATTCTTCCTCATTCGTCGTCTAAAAGTTATCACTCACCTAAAACTCACTTATTGGGCCGTCGTCTAAAAGTTATCACTCACTTTAAACTCACTTATTGCACCGTCGTCAAAAAGTTATCACTCACCTTAAACTCACTTATTGCGCCGTCGTTTAAAAGTTATCACTCAACTTAAACTCACTTATTGCGCCGTCGTCTAAAAGTTATCACTCACCTTAAACTCACTTATTGCGCCGTCGTCTAAAAGTTATCACTCACCTTAAACTCACTTATTGCGACGTCGTCTAAAAGTTATCACTCACCTTAAACTCACTTATTGCGCCGATGTCTAAAAGTTATCACTCACCTTAAACTCACTTATTGCACAGTCGTCTAAAAGTTATCACTCACCTTAAACTCACTTATTTCACCGTCGTCTAAAAGTTATCACTCACCTTAAACTCACTTATTGCACCGTCGTCTAAAAGTTATCACTCACCTTAAACTCACTTATTGCGCCGTCGTCTAAAAGTTATCACGCACCTTAAACTCACTTATTGCTCCGTCGTCTAAAAGTTATCACTCACCTTAAACTCACTTATTGCCCCGTCGTCTAAAAGTTATCACTCACCTTAAACTCACTTATTGCACCGTCGTCTAAAAGTTATCACTCACCTTAAACTCACTTATTGCACCGTCGTCTAAAAGTTATCACTCACCTTAAACTCACTTATTGCACCGTCGTCTAAAAGTTATCACTCACCTTAAACTCACTTATTGCACCGTCGTCTAAAAGTTATCACTCACCTTAAACTCACTTATTGCACCGTCGTCAAAAAGTTATCACTCACCTTAAACTCACTTATTGCGCCGTCGTCTAAAAGTTATCACTCACCTTAAACTCACTTATTGCACCGTCGTCTAAAAGTTATCACTCACCTTAAACTCACTTATTGCGCCGTCGTCTAAAAGTTATCACTCACCTTAAACTCACTTATTGCACCGTCGTCAAAAAGTTATCACTCACCTTAAACTCACTTATTGCGCCGTCGTCTAAAAGTTATCACTCACCTTAAACTCACTTATTGCGCCGTCGTCTAAAAGTTATCACTCACCTTAAACTAAATTAAAAATTAGGTAATAAGTTGTTTTTTTTCAGAGGCGTCTATTATTATATAAAAAAATGAGCACGGGTAGGGTGTAGGCCTACTGTTTAAATCCCAGCAGGTAGGGTGTAGGAACGTATGTATGCCTATTGTTTAAAGGCCGGCAGGTATGGTGTACCAGCTTCTGTAGGCCTATTGTAAAGAAGCCGGCAGGCAAGTTGTAGGACTGTCTGTAGGCTTAATGTTTAAAGGCTGGCAGGTAGGGTGTAGGAACTTGTGTAAAATTGTGTAAAGGCCGGCAGTTAGGCTTAAGGCACTTTTGTAGACCAGTTGCTTAAAGGCTGGCAGGTAGTATGTAGGATATTCAGAAAGCATATTGCTGAAAGGGCCGGCAGGTAGTGTGTAGGATATTCTGCAAGCATATTGTTGAAAAGGCCAGAAGGTAGTGTGTAGGATATTATGCAAGCATATTGTTGAAAGGGCCAGAAGGTAGTGTGTAGGATATTATGCAAGCATATTGTTGAAAGGGCCAGAAGGTAGTGTGTAGGATATTATGCAAGCATATTGTTGAAAGGCTGGTAGGTAGGGTGTAGGATATTCTGCATGCATATTGCTGACACGGCCGGCAGGTAGGACGTAGGAACATCTGTAAGCTAATTGTTTAAAAACAGGAATATATCCTTGAAAATCTAAAGTGAACATGTTTGTGTGTCACCAATGGACCCTTCGTGTATTTTCTCAAACCTGTTGTAAGAAAATTGCCTCCCGATTAAACTACTATTTATTTATTAAAAATTAGGTCGCTATTTTTAGAGTTTAATCTGGGTGCAGCTTTTCCTTTGCGCCATTCTAGCTTCTTTTAATTAGCATTATTGTTATTATTTTAATCTTTTCCCGTCAAACCCCCCCCCCCGGTAAGCATTAAGGTAGTAAGACATTTTAACTTTAGAGTCGCTATAAGAGGATAATTTAAGCTCACCATTACGACTATTCCAAATCATCGGAAGCAACAAATTTCTCAAACCTGTTGTAAGAAAATTGCCTCCCGATTAAACGACTATTTATTTATTAAAAATTAGGTAGCTATTTTTAGAGTTTAATCTGGGTGCTGCTTTTCCTTTGCGCCATTCTAGCTTCTTTTAATTAGCATTATTGTTATTATTTTAATCTTTTCCCGTCAAACCCCCCCCCCGGTAAGCATTAAGAGAGTCAGACATATTAACTTTAGAGTCGCTATAAGAGGATAAGTTAAGCTCACCATTACGACTATTCCACATCAGCGGAAGCAACACTGTTTGATCGCACCATCACATTTTGTTTCATCTTTGAACAAACGATCACATTTGCCTCGAGGCTGGCACTTGATCACTTTTGCTGGTTTGTTGTTAACCAGTTTAAAAAATGACTAGTTTAGTATAGGTTCTCACACGGCGGCTTCATATATTGGGTAACAAGTCAATAGAATTAACGAATGAATTTTTAAAAACAAAGTGTAAGGGATCCTGGGTGCTGGGTGGCCGAGTGGTCTAAACTGAGCAAATCTCAAGTTGGTGGTCTGGAGCTCAATTCCAGCCAGAGTCTCCGGTTCACAAGCGCCTGAGTGGACGAGTGGTATAAAACTGAGAAAATCTCAAGTTGGTAGTCGGGAGTTCAATTTCAGCCAAAGCAAGCAAAAAAAAAACAACCTCACCAGCACCTGGGTAGATGGGACTCGTTAACATTGGTTGGCAACTCATCTAAGAGAAGGAAATCTAAATTCAAACCCTGAGATGGCGTCCCCTACAGGCGGCAAACATCGAAACAATGAATCATTCCGTCAAGCCCTTCGACGCCCGGATGCCATCTCTGAGAGCGCAGTGAGCATGCTAAAATAGCATGTATACCTAGCGCTATATAAGTATTCAATCAAATCAAATCAAAATACTTCGATGACAACGGGGATCGAGTACGTTAAGTACCAAGAAAATTTGGTTTTAAGACATCAAATTTATTATAGAAAAAAAAAATCTACTTAACATAAGGGAGATTTAAGGTAAGGGATGGGTCAAATACGACGGTCTATATTTAGTAGATTTTTTTTTCTTCTTCTTTATCTTAAGGGGTCACTATCAATGTATTGATCATTCTGGCTCCTAAAAGCGTATTTTTGTATCATTTGTCACTAGAACAAAATAAAGTGCACTCATTAGGCCAAAACATTTATTTAAGGCAATAAAAATTTTAAACATATGCGTTAAGGTCAAACTACAAGTGAACTTATTATTCTAGCAGGGCAGGGGGTGGGGGATGTGTAGGGGTTCGGGTGGGGGGTAGCTATGTTACATTGCATTGAGATTAAAATAAAACATTTCCTGTTAATCCTTGCACGTTAAATAGGCTTTAGTACACGATTCCTCATAAACGCCCATTTGTTGGAACGGTGTTATGTGTTCTCCTAGGGGCTGGTTCTGTGGACATGTAGCGTCAAGTTGGCTGCCAGGACCCCTGACGAAGGGTCCTATTGACATGCTTTAGTGCTCAGATTAGACTGACGGAGAGCTAAGCTATTGCTTGCTTCGACATCAAGGTCAAGGACAAAGGTGTCATGCTTCTTAACATGTTGGTCAGTAAATACAATAATATAATTCTATTCCATATTCTAATTCAGTTTTCGCGGCACATTAAAGATGTTATATATATATATATATATATATATATATATATTATATAAATATATATATATATATATATATATATATATATATATATATATATATATATATATATATATATTTAAATATACAACACAATAAACTTCAATACAAAACAATTTTATAAAACAGATCGTCATTGTATACATTTTAGCCTACATCGTAGTAATCATGTTTTGGTTTTGGCTGCTATAAAGTAAACCATCTACTTTGACCATACAATAATCCTTGGATGAGCAGGCCCGAAATAAGCCGGCTTCAAATGTACTTTGAGTATTAAAGAAAGAACATTGTTTTTAGCACGATGTTTGACACCAATTTTTTTTCAAAAATAACAATGCCTTAAAAATAAGAAACTTTTTTTTTTCTTATTTTACACGCAGAACTGCAAAACTTTAATCTAAACACAATTCACACATTTAGTTGAATTGAAAGCGCAATAATACACTTACTGACAAGGGTTCCTGGGTTTGATATATAGTTACAATGGTGAATGAGATTTCTTGGAACAGCACGACACATCTATCAATCGTACATAAGCAAAATGAAGTTAAGCGTCTCAAGGAAAAATGTAAGAAAAAAAATATCTATATTCAGTTCACTAACCAAGTAGGTCGAAGTTCATATTCGTGTACATGTGGAGGATCAATTCTCATACACTTGACAGACCGGAAAATTTGTATGAAAAAAAAATGGCAGATTAAATGCCATCTAAAGGAAAAATTTGCAACAGTATATATTTACCAGGCTTATAAAAATTAATTATACGTCTGTCATCCTTAATGGTCTTGTTTCTGGTTACGTCTGGCTTTCTCGAAACAGCTTTTTTAGAAATGAAATATTTTGTAGATTCAATTCCAACACTGTTTTTAATAACGCTTTTTCCTTGGTGTCAAACATTTCAAAAAGCTGCTGTGATCTTTTGTCCTATTAGCCATTGACGGACCGGTGTTCAACATGTCCACGGAATGGCTGCGATCTTTTTGTCTTGGGCGTCCATTGTAAGGAGATGGCGGTACCACTGTTTCTCCACGACTGACGCCGTTTTATTGTGTAAACATTCGTACACAACGTTTATTTGATCGTAACGTCTACATGGCTGTCACATACACATGTTTGAAAGATTCTTCATCTAAGGTTCGAGAAACCCGGGGCGGGACAAGATGCTTGCTGTCCCTACTATGAAAAATCGTCTCCAGCCGGCCAAACATGCCGGACCTCATATAAAGAAAAGAGTGCCGCTTGTTGTGGACCACCCGCTCTGGACCACCCCCATGGCGCACCTCCTCTGGAACATCCCCTCTGGACCAACCCCCCTGGACCACCCCCTCTGGACCATCCCCCTGGACCATCCCCCCTGGACCACTACCTCTGGACACCCCCTCTGGACCACCCCCCTGGACCACCCCCTCTGGACAACCCCCTCTGGACCTACCCTCTGGACCATCTCCCTGGAAATATCCCATTCCTACGCCACTGGTTCAGCTTATTTCTTCTAAATTGTGTTTCCTGTTTCCGTGAAACGAGGTGATGTCATTAATAGTGATGTTATGTAACATTCGACTTGAGAGTAAATGCGGTGAACTGTTCTCACTCACATGGAGGGTCTATTGAATTTCACAAGTTTTGTTCCAACAGCGACACAGTAGGCTAGCTTTAAAATGGTGGTCTACAGCAGCTACCTTAACCATTGTTGAAGATAAACTATTTTCTTATATAGACCTTCTCCAACGAATTACGTTAAGAATTTAACAATGCATTTCAATTATCAGCCTTGGAAAAAGATCTTTTTCAAAAACTTCTCTCACACATTCTTTGGTTCTGCTAATAGTGGAAACATATCACACAAGTAACACATGGATACGCATCACAAAGTTTTCAGGAAAATGCGAATGTATACACAAGTGATAACGCCCAGTGAGAGACGTGTATGACACGCCCGCACGCACACGCACACACACACACACACACACAAGTTTCAACACAAATCAACAATGCAGACCATGGCCCACAAATCATCATTTCCTGTCGAGTTGGCTACGGCCGTTGAATCTCTTTTTGACATGGTAAGTTCCTCAAATTCTTTATGTTTATTTACATCCCTCTCAAGGGTGTGTCACAATGTTTTATAGGTACACACTACCTGTCGCGATTTGTAAGGGTTTAGCTTATTTCATTAAATTCCGATACACGTTCATACGCCATCATCACACTGAATGAAACACAAGTCATTTTTGTTTTCCTAATGAAATGTTAACTTTATTCCAGCAGCAACATGTAATATCGGGCTTTACAATGCATCAAACACATGTATGACGCAGCTCGCTTAAGTAGACGAATATAGTGCAATCTTCTTTCACGATGTTCTCTCGCAAACTGCCCAAGTCAGCGGAGTTCTATGTAATCGTATAAATACGTAATTATTCCGTCATGCCCTTGAGGTTTCCTTTCACTTGTTTATAAGATGTGATATTATGGATGCACTTCCTGGTTGGTTTTATTTGTTGTAAAACATTTGTATGATATCGTTGTTTTTTTTTTGTGTGTTTGTTTACGGTTTTCGTTTTAGAAAAATTTAAGAATGTATATAAATTTTCAAAATTAGCTTCAGTTATTCAGTCTTCATGTTTTTTTTTCGGTTTTTTTTTTTTTATTTTATTTTTAAAAAAATATAATGGCACAGTTTCTACTAGCTTTCTAAATATTATTTTTTTTAAATATAATTTTTTNTTTCGTCGGTGACGTCATCTGTCTCGTGGCGTCGTTTCAGATGGCGCTACAGGTTGCATTTCGTCGGTGACGTCATCTGTCTCGTGGCGTCGTTTCAGATGGCGCTAGAGGTTGCAGCTTCTTCTTTAATTTCTGAACAATTTATAGGCACATGGCTAACATGGATTGGAATAAGCAATTTATAGGCACATGGTTAACATGGATTGGAATAAAAAAATTACTGGCACATGGTTAACATGGATTGGAATTAAAAAAAAAAATCTTGTAATATTTTTTTCTAGCCTTTCACATTGTTTTTTTTTTTTTGTGTGTTTTTTTTCGTTTTTTGTTTTAGTTTAATTTTATAATGTATATAAATTTTCAAAATTAGTTTTAGTTATTCAGTCTTTATTTTTTTTTTTTGGTTTTTTTTTTTTATGTGATTTTAAAAAAAAATATAATGGCACAGTCTCGACTAGCTATCTAAATATTATTCTTTTTAAATATAATTTTTTTTGCTATCTCCTTAGTTAAGTTCCAGACACAACACAATATGCATGCTATACGCTCTATGATACCCATTACAAGTTAATTCTCTGCTTTCAAAGCTATATATTTTTTTCCTTTTTTTAAAAGGAAGGGTTCTTTTTTTTTGTCTTTAAAGAATTCAAAACATGACACGCAATATTTGACCAAATTTTGTATTCATTATGTAGACAAAAATTAAACAGAGTTCCTCAGACAGATTGTTGAATCAGATTGAAGATATAAAAACAAATGTTTAACACAATCTTATAGCAAGAAGGAAATCATTTTAAACTGAGAGCAAGCTCAGTGTTTATGTCCACATTATAATCTGGTAGTTGCAGCCGAATATAAATGAAAAGGATTCAGCTGGTTTTATCATCCAATCGGGTCTATATATCGCCTCGCATTAGCTACCAAAAGGATTCAGCTGGTTTTATCATCCAATCGGGTCTATATATCGCCTCGCATTAGCTACCAAAAGGATTCAGCTGGTTTTATCATCCAATCGGGTCTATATATCGCCTCGCATTAGCTACCAAAAGGATTCAGCTGGTTTTATCATCCAATCGGGTCTATATATCGCCTCGCATTAGCTACCAAAAGGATTCAGCTGGTTTTATCATCCAATCGGGTCTATATATCGCCTCGCATTAGCTACCAAAAGGATTCAGCTGGTTTTATCATCCAATCGGGTCTATATATCGCCTCGCATTAGCTACCAAAAGGATTCAGCTGGTTTTATCATCCAATCGGGTCTATATATCGCCTCGCATTAGCTACCAATTACCAACTTTTGTGGTTGAGTTGGGGTTTTTTAACTCATGGACTTGACGATTTCAAATTACTACTTTTTAAAAGTCAACGTATACAACCAGATATTTCCCCTGGCCGGGTAGAAAGTCGAGTGGATGTGTCCTAATTACCGTTTGTTAGAGAGGCAAACAACTCCACCAAAGAGCCATTCATCTCCTCGCTTAAGACTTTTCGAGTTTGTTTTTTTTTTTTTTTTTAATGTTATATTTCTAAAGTAGAGATACAACGGGTGATTAATTCACAATGGAATATCTTCGCAACAGATATTGTTCATGGCTAAGTGCAAAATTTTGACCATACTAGTGTTAGGATGTTCGTTATATTCCCTACCATCTGCAAGGTTCATTAAAAGTAACACAAAAAATGTCTTTATCTGCAGCTGTCCAGGGGGTGCATAAGTTTATTTTTGAACTACCTGCTATGTGTTCCTGTTACCATGGTTATCGGAGAACGGGCGCTGTGCACAGAAGGTGATTACTTTGATGAGGGCGAAGACAGGTGTGTGACATGCCCGACACAAACAATGCTTCCAAGCAATGATGCCAATGTAAGCCGAGAAAAGTATAGTCATTAATAGTATGTTGTTACCCATGACAACAATAGCCTATATATATATATATATATGTGTGTGAAAATGATTATAGTGCATTAGTATAAAATGCGAACTTATTATCTTCTTGGCAAGATCAAATAAAACATTGTCTTCAGTAAACCTTAAGAAATCGTAAGGGGTAATGTTGCAATATATTTAAAGAAAGGGATTTATGCCAGCGAATCTTATTTGTGAGGTAAGAAAATCAGTTGTTCTTTTTTAAGGGAGGTTAGGGGTAAGACGTAGAATTTTTTTTTAAAAAATGAGTCAATAATGACTTCTCACATATTCCATCAAGTTATAGACTTAAGTTAAATACAAAACAAAAAAAAATCAAAAATAATTTTAATTAACAAAATGTTTCCTTGACATTTGTTTCTCTCTAAATTAACATTGAAAACAACTCTACAGAGCATAGGTGATGGATGCGTCGCGTCCAGCAGAGCGTGTCCGACGGATCATTTCTGGCTCATTGACTCGTCATGCAGCGTGTGCGGGGGTCGGTGCAAGCGGTGCGACGAGTGTGGACTGGGCACCAACCTCTACCTTGACCACGAGGGGAGGCGCTGCGACGCCTACAGAAACAGGATTTGATGTGAGTATGAACACATGGTACACGCAGGGGACAGGTGTGTTGAGATACCCACAACAACTTCTACCTCAGAGCCTAAGACACAACCTTTCGTCAACGAGACATCTTTATCTTTAATTGAAGAAAAATCCAGCAGACCGGAAACTGGCCAGGATGAGAAATGGAGCCTTCCTTCAACAGGAAATCTGAGAAACTCGGCACGGCCGGTAACCCATGGTTGGTTCTTAATTGGTTTTGCGGCGCGTTCGATTTTGTTTATTTTTCTAAACCATTTTTAATGTACGTGTTCACAGAGAAACCCGTTGACAAGAATATTGATTA